TCAGCTACTCACTCACTCAGCTACTCACTCACTCAGCTACTCACTCAGCTACCCACTCACTCAGCTACCCACTCAGCCACTCACTCAGCTACTCACTCACTCAGCTACTCACTCACTCAGCTACTCACTCAGCTACTCACTCAGCTACTCACTCAACCACTCACTCACTCAGCTACTCACTCAGCTACTCACTCACTCAGCTACTCACTCAGCTACTCACTCAGCTACTCACTCAGTCACTCAGTCACTCACTCAGCTACTCACTCAGTCACTCAGTCACTCACTCAGCTACTCACTCAGCTACCCACTCACTCAGCTACTCACTCACTCAGCTACTCACTCAGCCACTCACTCAGCTACTCACTCAGCTACTCACTCACTCAGCTACTCACTCAGTCACTCACTCACTCAGCTACTTACTCAGCTACTCACTCAGCTACTCACTCACTCAGCTACTCACTCACTCAGCTACTCACTCAGCTACCCACTCACTCAGCTACTCACTCAGCTACTCACTCAGCTACCCACTCACTCAGCTACCCACTCACTCAGCTACTCATTCACTCAGCTACTCACTCAGTCACTCACTCAGCTACTCACTCATCTACTCACTCAGCTACTCACTCAGCTACTCACTCACTCAGCTACTCACTCAGCTACTCACTCAGCTACCCACTCACTCAGCTACTCACTCAGTCACTCAGTCACTCACTCAGCTACTCACTCAGCTACTCACTCAGCTACTCACTCAGCTACCCACTCACTCAGCTACTCACTCAGCTACTCACTCAGATACTCACTCAGCTACCCACTCACTCAGCTACTCACTCAGTCACTCAGTCTCTCACTCAGCTACTCACTCAGCTACTCACTCAGCTACTCACTCAGCTACCCACTCACTCAGCTACTCACTCAGCTACTCACTCAGCTACTAACTCAGCTACCCACTCAGCTACCCACTCAGCTACTCACTCACTCAACCACTCACTCAGTCACTCACTCACTCATTCAGCTACTCAATCACTCAGCTACTCACTCACTCAGCTACTCACTCACTCAGCTACTCACTCATCTACCCACTCACTCAGCTACTCACTCAGCTACTCACTCACTCAACCACTCACTCAGTCACTCACTCACTCATTCAGCTACTCAATCACTCAGCTACTCACTCAGCTACTCACTCAGCTACTCACTCAGCTACTCACTCACTCAGCTACTCACTCACTCAACTACTCACTCAGCTACTCACTCACTCATCCACTCACTCAGTCAGCTACTCACTCAGCTACTCAATCAGTCAGCTACTCACTCACTCAGCTACTCACTCAGCTACTCACTCACTCAGCTACTCACTCAGCTACTCACTCACTCAGCTACTCACTCAACTACTCACTCAGTCAGCTACTCACTCAGCTACTCACTCACTCACTCAGCTACTCACTCACTCAGCTGCTCACTCACTCAGCTACTCACTCACTCAGCTACTCACTCAGCTACTCACTCACTCAGCTACTCACTCAGCTACTCACTCACTCAGCTACTCACTCAACTACTCATTCAGTCAGCTACTCACTCAGCTACTCACTCACTCAGCTACTCACTCAGCTACTCACTCACTCAGCTACTCACTCACTCAGCTACTCACTCACTCAGCTACTCACTCAGCTACTCACTCACTCAGCTACTCACTCACTCAGCTACTCACTCACTCACTCAGCTACTCACTCACTCAGCTACTCACTCACTCACTCAGCTACTCACTCACTCAGCTACTCACTCACTCACTCAGCTACTCACTCACTCAGCTAGTCACTCAGCTACTCACTCACTCAGCTACTCACTCAGCTACTCACTCACTCAGCTACTCACTCAACTACTCATTCAGTCAGCTACTCACTCAGCTACTCACTCACTCAGCTACTCACTCAGCTACTCACTCACTCAGCTACTCACTCAGCTACTCACTCACTCAGCTACTCACTCAGCTACTCACTCACTCAGCTACTCACTCACTCAGCTACTCACTCACTCACTCAGCTACTCACTCACTCAGCTACTCACTCAGCTACTCACTCACTCAGCTACTCACTCACTCACTCAGCTACTCACTCACTCAGCTACTCACTCACTCACTCAGCTACTCACTCACTCAGCTACTCACTCACTCACTCAGCTACTCACTCACTCAGCTACTCACTCAGCTACTCACTCAGCTACTCACTCACTCAGCTACTCACTCAGCTACTTACTCACTCAGCTACTCACTCACTCAGCTACTCACTCACTCAGCTACTCACTCACTCTGCTACTCACTCAGCTACTCACTCAACCACTCACTCAGTCACTCAGCTACCCACTCAGCTACTCACTCAGCTACTCACTCACTCAGCTACTTACTCAGCTACTCACTCAGCTACTCACTCACTCAGCTACTCACTCACTCAGCTACTCACTCAGCTACCCACTCACTTAGCTACTCACTCAGCTACTCACTCAGCTACCCACTCACTCAGCTACCCACTCACTCAGCTACTCATTCACTCAGCTACTCACTCAGTCACTCAGTCACTCACTCAGCTACTCACTCATCTACTCACTCAGCTACTCACTCAGCTACTCACTCACTCAGCTACTCACTCAGCTACTCACTCAGCTACCCACTCACTCAGCTACTCACTCAGTCACTCACTCAGCTACTCACTCAGCTACTCACTCAGCTACTCACTCAGCTACCCACTCACTCAGCTACTCACTCAGCTACTCACTCAGATACTCACTCAGCTACCCACTCACTCAGCTACTCACTCAGTCACTCAGTCTCTCACTCAGCTACTCACTCAGCTACTCACTCAGCTACTCACTCAGCTACCCACTCACTCAGCTACTCACTCAGCTACTCACTCAGCTACTAACTCAGCTACCCACTCAGCTACCCACTCAGCTACTCACTCACTCAACCACTCACTCAGTCACTCACTCACTCATTCAGCTACTCAATCACTCAGCTACTCACTCACTCAGCTACTCACTCACTCAGCTACTCACTCATCTACCCACTCACTCAGCTACTCACTCAGCTACTCACTCACTCAACCACTCACTCAGTCACTCACTCACTCATTCAGCTACTCAATCACTCAGCTACTCACTCAGCTACTCACTCAGCTACTCACTCAGCTACTCACTCACTCAGCTACTCACTCACTCAACTACTCACTCACTCAGCTACTTACTCACTCAACTACTCACTCAGCTACTCACTCACTCAGCCACTCACTCACTCAGCTACTCACTCAGCTACTCAATCAGTCAGCTACTCACTCACTCAGCTGCTCACTCAGCTACTCACTCAGTCAGCTACTCACTCAGCTACTCAATCAGTCAGCTACTCACTCACTCAGCTACTCACTCAGCTACTCACTCACTCAGCTACTCACTCAGCTACTCACTCACTCAGCTACTCACTCAACTACTCACTCAGTCAGCTACTCACTCAGCTACTCACTCACTCACTCAGCTACTCACTCACTCAGCTGCTCACTCACTCACTCAGCTACTCACTCACTCAGCTACTCGCTCAGCTACTCACTCACTCAGCTACTCACTCAGCTACTCACTCACTCAGCTACTCACTCAACTACTCATTCAGTCAGCTACTCACTCAGCTACTCACTCACTCAGCTACTCACTCACTCAGCTACTCACTCACTCAGCTACTCACTCACTCAGCTACTCACTCAGCTACTCACTCAATCAGCTACTCACTCACTCAGCTACTCACTCACTCACTCAGCTACTCACTCACTCAGCTACTCACTCAGCTACTCACTCACTCAGCTACTCACTCACTCACTCAGCTACTCACTCACTCAGCTACTCACTCACTCAGCTACTCACTCAGCTACTCACTCACTCAGCTACTCACTCAGCTACTCACTCACTCAGCTACTCACTCAACTACTCATTCAGTCAGCTACTCACTCAGCTACTCACTCACTCAGCTACTCACTCAGCTACTCACTCACTCAGCTACTCACTCACTCAGCTACTCACTCACTCAGCTACTCACTCAGCTACTCACTCACTCAGCTACTCACTCACTCAGCTACTCACTCACTCACTCAGCTACTCACTCACTCAGCTACTCACTCAGCTACTCACTCACTCAGCTACTCACTCACTCACTCAGCTACTCACTCACTCACTCAGCTACTCACTCACTCAGCTACTCACTCAGCTACTCACTCAGCTACTCACTCACTCAGCTACTCACTCAGCTACTTACTCACTCAGCTACTCACTCACTCAGCTACTCACTCACTCTGCTACTCACTCAGCTACTCACTCAGCTACTCACTCACTCAGCTACTCACTCACTTAGCTACTCACTCAACCACTCACTCAGTCACTCACTCATTTTGCTACTCAATCACTCAACCACTCACTCAGTCACTCACTCACTCATTCAGCTACTCAATCACTCAGCTACTCACTCACTCAGCTACTCTCTCAGCTACTCACTCAGCTACTCACTCAGCTACTCACTCAGCTACTCACTCACTCACTCAACCACTCACTCAGCTACTCACTCACTCAACTACTCACTCAGCTACTCACTCACTCAGCTACTCACTCACTCAACCACTCACTCAGCTACTCACTCACTCAACTACTCACTCAGCTACTCTCTCAGCCACTCACTCAGACGTCCTATTTGGACGTCGATGCGACGTTCGGGTGCGAAGTCGGTTTGGTCGTGTGGTGGTGCCGTTTGGACCTAGATACGACGTTCGGTCGCGATGTCGGTTTGGTCGTGCGGTGGTGCCGTTTGGACCTAGATACGACGTTGAGAAGGGCTTCTGGTTCGTCCTATTTGGACGTCGGTGCGACGTTCGGTCTCAATGTCGGTTTGGTTGTGTGGTGGTGCCGTTTGGACCTAGATACGACTTTCGGTCGCGATGTCGGTTTGGTCGTGCGGTGGTGCCGTTTGGACGTAGATACGACGTTGAGAAGGGCTTCTGGTGCGTCCTATTTGGACGTCGATGCGATGTTCGGTCTCAATGTCGGTTTGGTTGTGTGGTGGTGCCGTTTGTACCTAGATACGACGTCGAGAAGGGCTTCCGGTTCGTCCTATTTGGACGTCGATACGACGTTCGGGTGCGAAGTCGGTTTGGTCGTGCGGTGGTGCCGTTTGGACATTGATACAACGTTCGGTCGCGATTTCGGTTTGGTCGTGCGGTGGTGCCGTTTGGACGTCGATACGACGTCGAGAAGGGCTTCTGGTGCGTCCTGTTTGGACGTCGATACAACGTTCGGTCTCAATGTCGGTTTGGTCGTGTGGTGGTGCCGTTTGAACCTAGATACGACGTTCGGTCGCGATGTCGGTTTGGTCGTGCGGTGGTGCCGTTTGGACCTAGATACGACGTTGAGAAGGGCTTCCGGTTCGTCCTATTTGGACGTCGATGCGACGTTCGGTCTCAATGTCGGTTTGGTCGTGCGGTGGTGCCGTTTGGACCTAGATACGACGTCGAGAAGGGCTTCCGGTTCGTCCTATTTGGACGTTGATACGACGTTCGGGTGCGAAGTCGGTTTGGTCGTGCGGTGGTGCCGTTTGGACGTTGATACAACGTTCGGTCTCAATGTCGGTTTGGTCGTGCGGTGGTGCCGTTTGGACCTAGATACGACGTCGAGAAGGGCTTCTGGTGCGTCCTATTTGGACGTTGATACGACGTTCGGTCTCAAAGTCGGTTTGGTCGTGTGGTGGTGCCGTTTGGACCTAGATACGACGTTCGGTCGCGATGTCGGTTTGGTCGTGTGGTGGTGCCGTTTGGACCTAGATACGACGTCGAGAAGGGCTTTTGGTGCGTCCTATTTGGACGTTGATACGACGTTCGGTCTCAAAGTCGGTTTGGTCGTGTGGTGGTGCCGTTTGGACCTAGATACGACGTTGAGAAGGGCTTTTGGTGCGTCCTATTTGGACGTCGATACGACGTTCGGTCTCAAAGTCGGTTTGGTCGTGTGGTGGTGCCGTTTGGACCTAGATACGACGTTCGGTCTCAATGTCGGTTTGGTTGTGCGGTGGTGCCGTTTGGACCTAGATACGACGTCGAGAAGGGCTTCTGGTTCGTCCTATTTGGACGTCGGTGCGACGTTCGGTCTCAATGTCGGTTTGGTTGTGCGGTGGTGCCGTTTGGACCTAGATACGACTTTCGGTCGCGATGTCGGTTTGGTCGTGTGGTGGTGCCGTTTGGACCTAGATACGACGTTGAGAAGGGCTTCTGGTGCGTCCTATTTGGACGTCGATACGACGTTCGGTCTCAATGTCGGTTTGGTCGTGTGGTGGTGCCGTTTGGACCTAGATACGACGTTCGGTCGCGTTGTCGGTTTGGTCGTGCGGTGGTGCCGTTTGGACCTAGATACGACGTTGAGAAGGGCTTCTGGTTCGTCCTATTTGGACGTCGGTGCGACGTTCGGGTGTGAAGTCGGTTTGGTCGTGCGGTGGTGCCGTTTGGACCTAGATACGACGTTGAGAAGGGCTTCTGGTGCGTCCTCCTGCCGGAGAGTGGACGATCTCGCTGCCTTGGCAAGAGCAAAGGACGCAGCTACCCAGACATGGAGCCTAGGGTGGGAACTCTCCCTTTTAACTCTCACTTTTAACTCTCACTTTTAACTCTCACTTTTAACTCTCACTTTTAACTCTCACTTTTAACTCTCTCCCATTTAACTCTCACTTTTAACTCTCCACTTTTAACTCTCACTTTTAACTCTCACTTTTAACTCTCACTTTTAACTCTCTCTTTTAACTCTCACTTTTAACTCTCACTTTTAACTCTCACTTTTAACTCTCTCTTTTAACTCTCACTTTTAACTCTCACTTTTAACTCTCTCCCATTTAACTCTCACTTTTAACTCTCCACTTTTAACTCTCACTTTTAACTCTCACTTTTAACTCTCACTTTTAACTCTCTCTTTTAACTCTCACTTTTAACTCTCACTTTTAACTCTCACTTTTAACTCTCTCTTTTAACTCTCACTTTTAACTCTCACTTTTAACTCTCTCCCTTTTAACTCTCACTTTTAACTCTCACTTTTAACTCTCACTTTTAACTCTCACTTTTAACTCTCTCTTTTAACTCTCACTTTTAACTCTCTCACTTTTAACTCTCACTTTTAACTCTCTCCCTTTTAACTCTCACTTTTAACTCTCTCTTTTAACTCTCACTTTTAACTCTCTCTTTTAACTCTCTCACTTTTAACTCTCACTTTTAACTCTCACTTTTAACTCTCACTTTTAACTCTCACTTTTAACTCTCACTTTTAACTCTCACTTTTAACTCTCACTTTTAACTCTCACTTTTAACTCTCCCTTTTAACTCTCACTTTTAACTCTCTCTTTTAACTCTCACTTTTAACTCTCACTTTTAACTCTCTCACTTTTAACTCTCACTTTTAACTCTCACTTTTAACTCTCACTTTTAACTCTCACTTTTAACTCTCACTTTTAACTCTCACTTTTAACTCTCCACTTTTAACTCTCACTTTTAACTCTCTCTTTTAACTCTCTCTTTTAACTCTCACTTTTAACTCTCACTTTTAACTCTCACTTTTAACTCTCACTTTTAACTCTCTCACTTTTAACTCTCACTTTTAACTCTCACTTTTAACTCTCCCTTTAACTCTCACTTTTAACTCTCACTTTTAACTATCACTTTTAAACTCTCACTTTTAACTCTCACTTTTAACTCTCTCTTTTAACTCTATCTTTTAACTCTCACTTTTAACTCTCACTTTTAACTCTCACTTTTAACTCTCACTTTTAACTCTCACTTTTAACTCTCTCTTTTAACTCTCACTTTTAACTCTCACTTTTAACTCTCTCTTTTAACTCTCACTTTTAACTCTCACTTTTAACTCTCACTTTTAACTCTCCACTTTTAACTCTCCACTTTTAACTCTCTCTTTTAACTCTCTCTTTAACTCTCACTTTTAACTCTCACTTTTAACTCTCTACTTTTAACTCTCACTTTTAACTCTCACTTTAACTCTCCTTTACTCTCACTTTTAACTCTCACTTTTAACTCTCACTTTTAACTCTCACTTTTAACTCTCTCCTTTTAACTCTCACTTTTAACTCTCACTTTTAACTCTCACTTTTAACTCTCACTTTTAACTCTCCTACTTTTAACCTCTCATTTTAACTCTCACTTTTAACTCTCACTTTTAACTCTCTCTTTTAACTCTCATCTTTTAACTCTCACTTTTAACTCTCACTTTTAACTCTCACTTTTAACTCTCACTTTTAACTCTCATCTTTTAACTCTCTCTTTTAACTCTCACTTTTAACTCTCACTTTTAACTCTCACTTTTTAACTCTCACTTTTTAACTCTCACTTTTAACTCTCACTTTTAACTCTCACTTTTAACTCTCTCTTAACTTCACTTTTAAACTCTCCACTTTTAACTCTCACTTTTAACTCTCACTTTTAACTCTCACTTTTAAACTCTCACTTTTAACTCTCCCTTTTAACTCTCAACTTTTAACTCTCACTTTTAACTCTCACTTTTAAATCTCACTTTTAACTCTCCTTTTAACTCTCACTTTTTAACTCTCCTTTTAACTCTCACTTTTAACTCTCACTTTTAACTCTCACTTTTAACTCTCATTTACTCTCACTCTTTTTAAACTCTCACTTTTAACTCTCACTTTTAACTCTCACTTTAACTCTCACTTTTAACTCTCACTTTTAACTCTCTCACTTTTAACACTCTCACTTTTAACTTCTCTTAAACTCGCACTTTTAAACTCTCACTTTTAACTCTCACTTTTAAACTCTCTCCTTTTAAACTCTCACTTTTAACTCTCACTTTTAACTCTCACTTTAACTCTCACTTTTAACTCTCACTTTTAACTCTCACTTTTAACTCTCACTTTTAACTCTCACTTTTAACTCTCACTTTTAACTCTGTCCTTTTAACTCTCTCTTTTAACTCTCACTTTAACTCTCACTTTTAACTCTCTCTTTTAACTCTCACTTTTAACTCTCACTTTTAACTCTCACTTTTAACTCTCACTTTTAACTCTCACTTTTAAACTCTCACTTTTAACTCTCTCACTTTTAACTCTCACTTTAACTCTCACTTTTAACTCTCTCTTTTAACTCTCACTTTTAACTCTCACTTTTAACTCTCTCTTTTAACTCTCCCTTTTAACTCTCACTTTTAACTCTCACTTTTAACTCTCTCTTTTAACTCTCACTTTTAACTCTCTCACTTTTAACTCTCACTTTTAACTCTCACTTTTAACTCTCACTTTTAACTCTCACTTTTAACTCTCACTTTTAACTCTCACTTTTAACTCTCACTTTTAACTCTCACTTTTAACTCTCTCACTTTTAACTCTCACTTTTAACTCTCACTTTTAACTCTCTCTTTTAACTCTCACTTTTAACTCTCACTTTTAACTCTCTCTTTTAACTCTCCCTTTTAACTCTCACTTTTAACTCTCACTTTTAACTCTCTCTTTTAACTCTCACTTTTAACTCTCTCACTTTACTCTCACTTTTAACTCTCACTTTTAACTCTCACTTTTAACTCTCACTTTAACTCTCACTTTTAACTCTCACTTTTAACTCTCACTTTTAACTCTCACTTTTAACTCTCACTTTTAACTCTCACTTTTAACTCTCACTTTTAACTCTCACTTTTAACTCTCTCTTTTAACTCTCTCTTTTAACTCTCTCTTTTAACTCTCACTTTTAACTCTCACTTTTAACTCTCACTTTTAACTCTCACTTTTAACTCTCACTTTTAACTCTCACTTTTAACTCTCACTTTTACTCTCACTTTTAACTCTCACTTTTAACTCTCACTTTTAACTCTCACTTTTAACTCTCACTTTTAACTCTCACTTTTAACTCTCTCTTTTAACTCTCACTTTTAACTCTCACTTTTAACTCTCACTTTTAACTCTCACTTTTAACTCTCACTTTTAACTCTCACTTTTAACTCTCACTTTTAACTCTCACTTTTAACTCTCACTTTTAACTCTCACTTTTAAACTCTCACTTTTAACTCTCTCTTTAACTCTCACTGTTAACTCTCACTTTTAACTCTCACTTTTAACTCTCACTTTTAACTCTCACTTTTAAATCTCACTTTAACTCTCCACTTTTAACTCTCACTTTTAACTCTCACTTTTAACTCTCACTTTTAACTCTCACTTTTAACTCTCACTTTTAACTCTCACTTTTAACTCTCTACTTTTAACTCTCACTTTTAACTCTCACTTTTAACTCTCTCTTTTAACTCTCACTTTTAACTCTCTCACTTTAACTCTCACTTTTAACTCTCTCTTTTAACTCTCACTTTAACTCTCACTTTTAACTCTCTCACTTTTAACTCTCACTTTTAACTCTCACTTTTAACTCTCACTTTTAACTCTCACTTTTAACTCTCACTTTTAACTCTCACTTTTAACTCTCTCTTTTAACTCTCTCTTTTAACTCTCCCTTTTAACTCTCTCTTTTAACTCTCTCTTTTAACTCTCTCTTTTAACTCTCACTTTTAACTCTCACTTTTAACTCTCTCTTTTAACTCTCACTTTTAACTCTCACTTTTAACTCTCACTTTTAACTCTCACTTTTAACTCTCTCTTTTAAATCTCTCTTTTAACTCTCACTTTTAACTCTCACTTTTAACTCTCACTTTTAACTCTCTCTTTTAACTCTCACTTTTAACTCTCACTTTTAACTCTCACTTTTAACTCTCCACTTTTAACTCTCACTTTTAACTCTCACTTTTAACTCTCTCTTTTAACTCTCACTTTTAACTCTCACGTTTAACACTCACTTTTAACTCTCACTTTTAACTCTCACTTTTAACTCTCACTTTTAACTCTCCCTTTTAACTCTCACTTTTAACTCTCTCTTTTAACTCTCACTTTTAACTCTCACTTTTAACTTCTCACTTTTACTCTCACTTTTAACTCTCACTTTTAACTCTCACTTTTAACTCTCACTTTTAACTCTCACTTTTAACTCTCACTTTTAACTCCTCACTTTTAACATCTCACGTTTTAACTCTCACTTTTAACTCTCACTTTAACTCTCACTTTTAACTCTCACTTTAACTCTCACTTTTAAACTCTCCTCACTTTTAACTCTCACTTTTAACTCTCACTTTTAACTCTCACTTTTAACTCTCACTTTTAACTCTCTCACTTTTAACTCTCTCACTTTTAACTCTCACTTTTAACTCTCACTTTTAACTCTCACTTTTAACTCTCATTTAACTCTCACTTTTAACTCTCACTTTAAACTCTCACTTTTAACTCTCCACTTAACTCTCACTTTTACATCTCCTTTTAACTCTCTCTTTTAACTCTCACTTTTAACTCTCACTTTTAACTCTCTCACTTTTAACTCTCACTTTTAACTCTCACTTTTAACTCTCACTTTTAACTCTCTCTTTTAACTCTCTCTTTTAACTCTCACTTTTAACTCTCACTTT